GAAATACTGCTACTGGAAGTTGATTCCAAAGAGTGGTTGTGCGTGGGAGAAAGTGCCTTGAAAAACGCACGGTGGAGGACCGCCACTCGTTCAGATGGTTTGGATGAAATTTTAGTTTATAGCAGGTTGTACGATGGTGAAAGTCAGCAGCAGGTAAAGTCAGCAAAAGGTCAGTTGAAATAATATTAACTTAAAACACAGACTACATTTTCAACAACACAATAAAACAAAAATTTTGAAATAATATAAATTCAATGCGTATCGTTCTACAAAGACAGTCATGATAGGCATCAACTAAATATATATACAATAATATGTAAATACTATAATAGCTGCTTAAAACGAAGATAACAATGAGACGATAATCCTACGTGAGTTAGTCAGCAACAACAGTCGAATCATTTTTCACTAGTTTCCACAGTTAACTTACTATCCATACTACATTTACACAACGAGAAAAGTCGACAGTAAGCCCATATTATATTATTATTATTATTCGCTAAACATATGTAGATATTTAAATCCAACACTGAACAAATCAAAAAACAAAACTATACTGATCACTCAATTTAGTTTGGTTTATTAATAATATTAGTCTGTTAATCGAAATACTACCATCTACTACTCCCACCCAGTTGAAAATTTAAATTCACACACAATATTTGTAATGTAGGTGAAAAACGCCCAACCGATTGATCACTTCCGTCAATCACTTTCCGCGACATATACATAAAATTTTATGGCAATATGTTATCAGTCATCAATCAGATTGATGATATATTGAACGTGTAATCTCTATGGGACGAGTAGTACCTAACCTACTAAATAAAACATACTCATAGATGCATCGCTCTTGTATACAATACGTGTCATGGTAATATTATTTGCCTAAAATTTGGCTCGTTTTTATATATCTTAAGTCTCTATCGTATTAAATTAATTAAGAATCATTGACTATATAAATACTTATTATCTATTCCCCTCATTCATAAAAACTTATGTTTTATTATTATAATTACACTATTTTTTCACTTTTTTTTATTAGAAAATTAGCACAAAGGGAAGAGACAAAACAATCCAATAGCTAAAATAGATTTATGAGAGCTTTGATGTTTTTATGAATAAAGCAACAATCGACTAACAAATTATGATTAACTTTATGATTATATAAAATAAATCATGATGCATCGGTAATAAGTAATTATTACCTTCTATATGTGTATTTAAATAATATCTTATCTTATCATCATCATCGTTTCAGCTATTATCCGTCCACTGCTGGACATAGGCCATCATAAGGAACGGTCCTGAGGCACCTGCATCCACTGCAGTGCATTTAGGATCGTCACTCTATCTAGTGGGAGGCCGTACTACATTGCATTTGCCCGTACGAGGTCGCCACATCGTCGTCTTTCGTTCTCATCGGTTGTCGGTTTTTCGAACTGTGTAAACAGCTCATTGCTATTTTAGCTTGCTTGTCTTTCAGGCTATGTCGGTTACTTATTTCACAAATATAATAAAATAAACGATTAATTAATTAATGTAGCTAAGCGATTGATGTAGAAAATATAAAAAAAATATAAAAAAATAATTGTAAAAAGATTTAATAGGAGCAGTAAAAGCCAAAAATGCATTTTTTTCTTTTTATCTGACTTTTTGTCAGTGTATATATATAAAAAAGTCAGATAAATATATATATATATTAAAGGAAACTTAATTATTTTCAAAATTATTGCCTGTCTATATGTTTTACCATCACATTTCATCATCATGCAAAAACTATTAATTATATATGTAGTTAAAAAGAATCAGATGGCGCTAAAGCAAACAAAAAATGCGATCTCGGATCTTTCAACTCTTTTTCTTTTTTGCCTTTTTCCTTTTTTTTCTTTTAATGATAAAAGATAGGACTATTTCATATTAGTAATTTTAGTTTCTAAATCGCTTTCTGAATGTAGCACAAACATTCGTTCGTTAATTCTTTTAACTATTAGAAAACATCATCATCATCATTTCAGCCATGATCCATCCACATTAATAGTGTATATAAAAGAGAAAAAAATAGAAAAATGAAAAAAGGATAAATAAAAATGAAAAAAGGACAATGAAAAATGGAAAAAGTAAGAAAATTATTCCTATAATCTTGTTTCTATAAAGCAACTTAGGAACTAAATCTATTAACATGAAATAATCCTATCTTATATCATTACATTACAAATAGAGCAGTTAGTCGAAGAAAAATGTATTTAATCTATCTAGCTATTAAGAAGTAATTACGTTACATACTACTTTTTTGTGACAATTAAAAATTCTTTGCGAACTACTCGCTCAATATTTGCTGTTATAGGAAATCGCTCGATAGGGACTGTCCGTTCTTTGTTAGAGAATAATATATCTAACTTTATATACCTAAAGATCACATAAATTAATTAGACACAGTATATTTTATGTATGTAGAAAAAATATATCGTTACCTACTTTAAAAATCCACGCACACAAAGTCATTGAAAAACGAGTTAAAAGATGATAATATTAATTATTAAGCAATATTTAGGAGAATAAGGTGCTCCAGTTTGTAACAGACCTTCTAATGTATTTTTGCTAAATTTATTTATATTAGTATTTGTTAATTTTGAATAAATTTTATTATTATTTATTTAACATCCCTATAAAAAATAAAGGGTTTTGTTTTTACAGTTTCGAAAATTTACTCATATAAAAAAAAAAACTTGTGAGTTCATGTTTAATAAAATTAAAATAACAACATCTATAAAAGTACTACTACTATAAATGTAACCATAAATGTACTTTTTAAAATTTTATCAACATGTAATCACTTTCATAAGCACAAAATAAATTGCATATATTGTATGTGTGTGCACGCGCGCGCGCTTGTGTGTAAGTGGGTATGTGGGTGTGTGTGTATGCATGAGGCGTTATGAGGACAAATGTCTAGAAGTGTAATTAAATTCACAACACATTACAATTTTTCATTTATTATAAAAGGCGGTAAATATTGTTAAAAGTGATAAAATATGTAGATTGGATAGTGTGTATGTTTTAATGCAATTTCATATTTTTATTATTTTTCTTTTCCACTACTGAATTTATTTTGATAAGTTTTTATATTACATGGTTTTTTGGACATATTGTAGGATATTCACAGTTTTAAACTGTTCTAGTTTCTACAGCGAATTTTTGTTGTTTCTCATAATAATCACATATTTTATATTTTAAATGTACCTAATATATTTAAGTACTAAAATATTAAATTATCACCACACTCCAAAATTTAACAAAATCCGTTCGTAGTTTTTGTGCAGTACATATCTACAAGCACAAACATTGGGGTCAATTCTAAACCGCCATTCTACATCTCTAAAATTTCAATTTCAATTTAGCCTAACAGTGAAATCTTTGTTACTATAAACAAAATTTATATTAAATTTGACTTAGAACTACGTTAAATTTAGTTCATAATGGCCTAAATTGTATCAGTTTCGCTAAACTATCAAATTGAGATTTATTTTAGAAATAGATTTATTCTCTAAACTTGTCATTAAAATTAATCTGAAATTATTAAATAAAGTTCTTCAGAATCGACTTTGATTAGTTATAGTTTTATTTATAAATGGATGTAGATACATAAACAGGTAATGTCTTTTCTCGTATACGTGTAGATATGGTAAATGCGACCTCCCGATAAATTTTTTTCTTCGTTCTCTATTTTACCAAAAACATCCTATCTAAACAGTTTAAATTTCAATAAGATATTATTATTAGAAATTCTATGGTAGTCCCAATAAAAGTAAAAATAAACCAGATCATAAAAAATCACTTATTATTATAACAAAATTGTTATATTTATACTATTATTATATTATATTTCCGTTTAGGCGAAGATTAGTATAGTATAATATAGTAGACTAGTATTAATATCTGTCTGTCCACATAAAGACACGTCATCTAGAGAAACTGAATTGGATTTCAAAAGAAATGTTATATTTTATAGGTTATGTTGTATTAGAAACGTCCGGGCACATTATGAGATACAATTCGCGTAGAACGTAGAAGTTTTGTTACTTGGTTAATGATGTTTACAAAAAAAAATCTCCTAGATGGTGTTAATATCAAATAATGACGAATTCCGTTAATTTTGACTACCATATGAATGTAATCGCGAGCACAGCTCATTATATTAAAACTGTTACAATATCATTGCCATACAGGTATCTAATGCTACTTGATGAGCAATTCTTATACACCGTATTTTACAAATCTCAGTAACTCTTAAATGAAGTATGTATGTAAATAATGTTTAAAGTAGATACGCATACCTTTATGAAAAAGGGTCAACAATATATTTTACTTGTAATTCTTTATCCCCACATGAACAAAGGTAGCATATCCTTTGTTCTCTACCAACGCATTAAATTTTACTGAATGAGATCAGTACGAATACATATTTTTCTCTAATTTGAGGAGGTGATTATATTCTGAATATCTTTTATATCCGGAAGGAGGTTAATATACTGCATAATCGTGGTTATATCCATTTTTGTAGTACTCAATTCAAAAGCACGTATGATATATTCACTGTATGTGAGATATACAAAAAGTAGGTACTAAAATATAAATGGGAAAAGTCACGCAACGGAGTACAACAATTATTTCATAATGCGATTATTGTCACGTACACGATACGATACGCTTACTACACTGCGAAGAAAACATATAAAAAGTCAAATATGTATCAAAGACATTTCAGCTGAAAGCTTGTCATGCATTCAACAGGTACACCGTTATATCAAGAGCAGCATCCATCAAAATACGAAGACGCGATAACGAACGGCGCTCAGTAAGGGTCGCGCGGTGGCGCGCGGCCAGCGGCGGTGCCGGTGGCGGCACGTTGGCGGGGTGTGAACCGCGCGGGGTCCTTGGGCTCGTGACTTCATAGCTGGACTATATATAAGCAAATAGGTCCACTAGGCGTTACTTACGCGGGGAGCACGGTCCGGACCGGGGCGCGACACTTGTTGTGATGTGTGTGAGGCCGCGTGGCCGGGCTGCGGCAGACTGTTGCTCCCGGGGCCGCTTCACTTGTTACGTGCCACCCGCCGCCCTGCGCGCCCTGGCGCTGCCGCCCTTGCGTCGCACCCCCGCGCCCGCCCTCACAACCCCGCCCCGCATCTACTCACCAATATTATGGGTCCTTCACTTCGCAGCATCCTTCTTACTCACCTAGCTACGTGCGACCGTCCAGCCGAGATCGGTTTTCTCAGGTGTCACCCTTCGCAAGTACTCGTTGCCTGCCTAGCAATTTGAAGGATAATCCTGTCATTTCATTCAAGATATTTATAATGAATAAAGGAACAATTCAACTGCCTACGTATATTTACGCAGTAATCATATTCGAGGCTGCATACTTTTTTTATAACAAAACTGTAATATAATTAATATTAATTATTTTAAAAACTATAGATAGATTGTTATTACTAATTTAACTATTGGTAACTGAAACATAACTTCATAGTTTTATATCATATTCAGCGAGTAACAATTTTATAGCTGATGTTGAAATATAAAAAAACGGATAACAAACAAGTATACGGCTTGCTTAATAACACCATATTTACTGTAATACACATAACTATAATAATACAATATCGTAATTACCCTTCATACTATCAGTCAACAATCATAGTGGACAGAAATTGTGACCTAGGTATTGTAGTATTTTTCAATTATAACTAAACTGTATGGTACGTAATTTATATGTAGCTATTAACATAGATATCACAATACCAATTATTTCTGTCTATGAACACATCACGCAAAAAAATAGAACTGATTTTGATAAAATTGTATATAATAATATTATTATATACATTTTTAATAATAATAATAATAATATATTTAAAATATATTATTATTATTATATAAACTTTTACCAAAATCAATCCTATCGTTTTACGTGATGTGTGATTAGATAAGAGATCAACTCTTATATATTAGATATACAAATTTAAAAACGGAAAAAGGTCTATAGCATATACTTACTAAAAGAAAACTCAAGAAGTCGTCTAACAAACGGAGGCGCGGCAGACACAGCTACTTAATTACTTACTAATTAAATAATGTAAATATTAGAAAGAGAAATTTAAACTTTTCCGAGCTATCTTAGCTAGATGAGTTTCCATTTACGCTAAGAAAAGAAACTATTGTTATTTGCATAGCATTCACTCTAGAGAGCTAAAGGATTTAAGATTGGATATTGATATATCGAAAGACTTTTTAATAGTCGTAATTTAACAAGTTTCAATTACTGGGTAATTTTCTGATTAGCCAGAGACATTTCGTTTTTCTTTTTTTTTATACCTTCATATTCTATTTGTTTATACCTATAATATTACAAAGAGATTTTTTTTGTAATGGATAAAATAAAAAACTACTTATTTTCACCTATATAAATCTACAGCATCAGTGAGCGAAGGCTGTATTTTATTTAAAACAAAAGGTGCGAAGAAACGGTTGGTCCTTTTGTTTTTAATGGGTGATAATCGTTTCGTCTGCGCTAACGATATACGCTGGCAGAGCACCAGTGAGGGTGACAGTTGTCGATGAAAGCAAGTCCGTCAGTCCATCGTGACGAATTCCACTAGAATTAACCACGACAGTTTTCGAGGGGAACCACGTGAAAATCGACCCGATATTGTATTGGGAGTTAGTGAGTGTGTTGCCGAGAGTGTATTGCTAATTATGGAAAAATTAGACCTCACTACTAACAATCCCTTTCCCCCCGCGGCGGTTGGACTTTAGTGTAATATAGATTTCTATATCTACTGTTAACTGTCCACTGCTAAACAGTAAACATAGGCCTTCTTCATAAGGGAGATGGGAGAGGTGTCAGTAGTTGCTATGCTTGACAAATGAGTTGAAAACCTTAGGCTTTGCTGATGTTTTAAGAGGGTAGCTTTTATTTTAAGACCATTATGTTTACATCAACATTCTTATAACGTAGGTCTTTGTCTATTAAAGAAAGATATTAACATGTTACTTCACTAGCCAGGGAAGTTGGTATTAGTTTTTATTTCGAAAGTTCCTTTTCTTCTTTAGTGTACTTGGTTTCTTTGGACGCTTCATATGATATCCTGGAGATAAAAAGGAGTGGCGACACCTAGTGTATTCTTACTCAATAACGTCACGGAAATATATATACACTTATTTTATATAAATTCTGAAAAAAGTGAACATTTAGGTAAGTATGTATGATAATTGCCGTACGTTTTATAATATAATGACAAACGTTATGATCAATTTATCAACACTCCAGAAGGTCGTAAGTAATCAATATTACCATTACGATACTGAAATGGTTGTAATAAATTAATATATTATTTATATTATATGGTACTTATCAGATGTAACTTTATATAATACAAATACAATTAATATCATCGCAAAGCAAACTTGGAGTACTAATTAACTTAATCAAAACACACACGTGTACAATAAACACACTATGTAAACATAACATGTTTTTATTTCGTGACATTAATTATACATTTCCTGGCTAGGTAAAAACACGCAACGTCACTTGCGCAGGTCAGTTAGATACTTATATGATAATAGATACTTCTCGTGTATCTCCTGTCGAGGGTTGCATCCATCAAAAATAAATTGTTTTTATGGTAATATAATTTCTAGTTTCTATTCTATGAATTGCTAGGTCTAATGCCTAAGTTTGTATCTACTTATTTATACCTATGGACAATGCCAAGCGTTGGAATAAGGCCGCTTCACATAAACGCGTAATACGGTGTGAAGATTTGCCTACCGCCTTGTACACTCTCAACATGAAGAGCTTATGGCTGGTTGTTTGTGGCTTTTGCCATCCCACCAAAAAACCTATAAAATGTGGCGTACAAAAAGTTCCAATGCCCAGTCTCTTTATCATATAAGCTTTCAAAATATATGAGTTTTCTTATATACCTATAACTTAATTATTACCATGTCCATACATTTCCTATATTTTAACCTCTAAAGGGTGATATAAAAACGACATATCGATTTCTCTGAAGTTCATTGAAAGCAGATTTGTGGATAATCCGGACAATTAGATATCAAGCACGTTTATTCCAGAATCTGTCCCTTATAAGTATGTATACTTAGAAGGTATATGTATACGGGACCTAGAAAATATATCTACTCACATAAAACAAATACCCACACTACAGTCCTGGTAATATTTGCATTAAGTTTAACATTATAAACAAATGAGTTACTTTTACTGTAATATACGAGTTTAGATTACATGTAAATAGAATATCTCCCTACAAATAGATATTCAGACAAAAAAGTCTTTCTTTATGCAACTAAGAGCAAGCTTACGATCTATTTGATGGATGGTAATCGTCTCCTATGGATATAACCAGCGCCATGGTCTGTGATGATAAATAGTCACGCCAAAGGTACCGCTCATGCATTTCTTCAGGATTAAGGAGTTACGCCTCCAAACCCTGTATTTTCACTGCATATTACTTCAAATCCAAGCACGATAGGAATAATAGATACAGTAACAAATTAAAACCAAAAGAGCATAACGTATTTAATAGCGCTCTTTTAAAATTGTATTAATCCTATATTCTATTCCTACATATCCTATTTTCCTATTTTTATTTAGGTCCTATGGTTTTCAGTATTATGCTTTCGACTAATCCCGTCTGATCGAATCGAACGATACCTCAGTTAATAATTAACTAAATGTTTTTGAACTGTTTTCTATATTTTATATACGCACTCAATAAATATCTCAAAACATCTAAAAAGATAAAAATATTTAAGTTTCTAGCGACCAGGCTCTCAGGTTTCGTACGTCTCTAAAAGAATAAATAAATAACTGTACTTATTATTTATAATATTTAATATAAAAGTATGTTACTGTATCACGAAATGCCTCTGCGTTTGCCAACCCGCCTGCCAAGCGTGATAACTACTGTCAAGCGTGATACCCCCTTATGGGGGAGCCCTATGATTAACAGTGGACAGTAAACAGCTGATATGATGATAAAGAAACCCATCAATAGATTTTTGTCAAAACTAATTATGTACCTAATTGCTTAATCATCAGTATTGCTACGGATCGACTTTTAAAGTTGTATAAGAAATTGAAAACAGTTCATAATTATGTATTTCAAGAATTACTAATATATGCTTACCATAAACATAAATAATGTAATATTCATAACATATTTTAATTATACCTAACTTATATTTTTTTTTTGCCATATTATTTATTTATTTCGTGAAAATTCAAATATTTTTTTTTATTTATTTTTCTTTCAAAAAAAAAAAGTTCTTTGAAATCAAACAGCTTCGTGTGTAGAAAAAAGAACAATTTGTAAAAAACAGTGGGATAAAACAGTATTTATGGGTCGTCTGACCGCCCTCCCGGGCCTCATAGAGTTCACCCCCGTAGCGAAACACTTTCATCTGATCGCATCTTACAAAGACTGTCACGATCACTGAATTTCACTTACAATGAAATACTTTTATACGAGCTTATATACAAGTACTTGAAGACTAAACCAAATTTCTCATTTAGTAACATAAGAAGCATTTTTTATTTCAAACTATTCGTAGCCTTTTGAATGACTTACTTTTTTTATGCACTTATTCATTTTGGTGGACTTGTGAAATTTATTACGTACAAAATTTCAATGAAAATGGTCCTACAAACAACAATATACAAATGTCACGTATACTCATAGCAGCAACGTGATTTATAAGAAAAAATATTATTGCCCATGACACATAGCCACAAATGTTGCAGCACACACGATACTGTGTTCAAGTAAATTTTTTTGTAAATATGTACCTAGGTAGTGTTTACCTTCTACAGAATTTGGTAAAGCGCCTAACCTAACCATCTTAACAACGTAATCATCTTCATCATATCAGTCGTTAACTATCCACTGCTGAACATAAGCTTCCCCTTTGGGGAGGTTTTGCCAGTAGTTCCCGCGCTTGGCAAGCGGATTGGCAAAAGCAGTCAGGCTTTAGAGATGTTTTAAGAGAGACGCTGCTGCCCATGCCACGCTCTCCCTTAGTCGGGTTTTACGACACCCACGGAAAAAGAAGAGGTGGCCTAATCTATGCCTGGACCACACGGCCAACAATATAATATCGAGTTATAACTGTCCTAGTTTACAGTTAAGACTTATATGAAAGCAGTTTTAGGTCTTTTCATACGAAAGAATATAATGATGCAGTAAATGTATAACGATGATGAACAATGCGGTAAACTGATAGTACGAAATTCATATTTTTTAACATTTTAGACCTATGGCAGATAAAATAGGTATCTAAGCGGGGTTTTTTTAATAATGGAATATATATATTAATAATGGAATAGTAACCTCGCCACGCTAACTGTATACGCTGGCGAGGAATGACAGGTGAAACTGAAAAGGCAGGTCATTTAACCCACCGTGATGAATACACCTGAAATTCAGTACGATAGTTTCCAGAGGGAACCGCGTGGACGTTGATCTGACAGAGTATATTGATGTTAGGTCCCATACTATTTCACTACATTAGGCCATATTCATAAAATTTCAGCTACTTATCTTCATAAGTAAGGGGGAATGGGATTGTTAGTAATATGGACTAGCGGCCCCATTGATAGCGATATATTCTGTCAAGTCGACCTCCACGCAGTTGTCCCTGAAAATGATTGTCATTAATTCTTGTTGAATTCTTCACAATGAGCTAACTGTCCTTTTTTTTATAACCATCAAGGTGGCAAACAAGCTTACAACCCGTTTCATGATAAGCTTTTACTGTACGCTATGGACGCCAGGGGGGAAAGGGATTGTTTGTAATGGAGTCTGAGAATCCCATTGCTAGCAATATACCCAACCAGGTCGACCTCCTCGCGGTTCCCCCTGGAAACTATCATGGTTAATTCCTGATAAATTCATCATGATGGGCTAACTGGCCTGTTAACATTCTCATCTATAACCCTTCACTGATGCTCCGCCAGCGTATCCCATTAGCGCAGGCGGGGTTACCATTCCATTTTCACCCATCAAAAAACTCTATGGACGCCAGCAACACTAGGGATGTCACGTGTGTGTGGCCGACCCTGAAGAAATCTTAATACACCCTTTTTGAAGTACCCTATAGTCTCTAGGGAAAACCTCAGCAAGGAGCTCATTCCACAACTTGAGTATTCGCTACCTCCTTTCATCTCTATCATCTCTCGCTGATGACCGCCAGCATATTTCGATAGTGCAGGCGGAGTTAACATACCATTATCATCCCATAAAAATACCTTCGTAGGCACACATTCTAAATTTGTCGATCACACATAGTAAATAAACCAGTATACAATACTTGTACTTCAATTCTTATAATAAACAAAGTGTACTCTGCTGTAATATGACAAGGTCGACTAGCCCTTCAAAACACATTCACACAATAATGCCAGTGCCGACCCTGCGCATAATTCATTCATAACCTCCGAGGCCAAATTCGTGTATGAAGACGCTGTCCTTAATGCAACTCCTGGCAGAGTCTCCAACATGGTTTTAATCTTTGTTTATAAGAGAAATATTATGTTAATAATTACTTACGAGTAATATGAAAATATGGCACTTTATGACGATATACATAGCACTACCAGGGCATTTTGCAATTGATCGGTCTGTCTTGCAAAATAGTAGATCCTTTCTGTCATCTCACCTCTCTCCCTGTCGTTAGACAGGCTTAGTTTAGTCGTGATGGTATTATTACTAGTATATTTTTATATCTGATATCACAGATGTACAAGCCAAAACTAATTTTGTATTTGTAGAACTGAAGAACCTTTATTTAAAAAATGATAAACCGAATAATTTCCATATTCTTTAGATTAAAAAGGAAAATAATCAAAATCAGAATAATAACTTGTTTTTTGAGACTCGACCACGTGCGACCACATGGTCAGTTTATTTAAAGTATGAGATTTATAAAAATTACTTCAAGATTTCGATTATGTTATTTGAGACAAGTTATTAATTTTACATTAATACAAATCCATGAACACTAATATTCAGTTTTGGTTTGATTCTCCCTTACGACTAACCTGTACATGTATCTAGCTACGATATCAACTTGATATTTGATGAAATTTTTTTTTTATACCACTGAGGTGGCAGACAAGCATACGGCCCACCTGATGGTAAGCGGTTACTGTAGCATATGAACGTCTGCAATACCAAGGCGCGTTGCCGACCCTGAATAAACCTCTTTACCCCCTTTTGAAGAACCCCAAGCTGTAGTCTCTTAGGAAAACCTCGGCAGGGAGCTCATTCCATAACCTGAGTGTTCGTCTCTGAATCCGCGTTGTACGCGACCATTTAGGCTGTAGGGTATGAGGGTGAACTGCTTGTCGATGGCGAGCTGTACGATAGTAGAAAGTGGCCATAGGCACTCTGAGCACAAACCGTTGTACAAGCGGTAAATAAATAAAATAAAAAGTAATTATTCAATCTAAATACCAATAGTTAACTGGTAGACCGCCAAATGTACATAGAATTTCACTGTGCAACAAAATTTTAATAAATAAATAAAAAATAAAACCTAAGTAAAATTCCTGTTAAATCATAAAATGTGTAAAATATAGTTACATTTGAAAATCTGTAAGTCTAATAAGTGATTGTATTAAGGCACTGCTCTGGTTTTGAAGAAGGGCGTTTGCCTGAAATTCACATACAGTTTTACACAAATTGTGAAATTCTAAAATTGTAATAATTTCCTTTAATAATTACAGTTTTCTGTTTCGTTGTCTAACTCGTCTCCTTATACAAGCATAGCAAATGAATTATCCATAGAAACGTTTCAGTTGGCGCTTGTATGAAAAAAGTCACCGGACGTGACAATCCTATTCTACTCGCTAGCGATTACGATTCTCTCTAAAGATTCGTTTGCCATTTATTTAGGAGGGCTAGTTTTCCCTTTCCTTACTTATAATAATGCTTGGGGATGCATCTGTCTACATACAGCAAACGCCATAATCTAAACGAAGGTCCAAGTTACTTCATTTCGGCTTCAATTTTCCCTAACGAGGACAAAACAATATGTCACGAATCGCACTTTGACTTACGTATCTATCTGTGACATTGTTATCGGTACCTACAAGTAATGAGCGTTTATCTCACTTCTCGACTTTTCCTTATATCGGGAATATACTGCAAACAACGAGTTCCAATATAAATAATAATCACTAGAATGGAGCTCAACATCAATCTACTGATCATCTTTATTAATTGCGTTGTTATAATCCTTCTCCAGGTTATGAACCCAGTTTAATGAAGGTATAAAGCAAATTACTGTTGTATTATGGTAATTGAGTACTGCTAAATTGCTCTACAGAATAGTAGTACTACGTAATAGAACAATCGCGAAGTATTATGTGCGAATTTCTAATCCATCATAAATATTCAACTTAATTACTACTATTATTGTGCATTAATCGAGGCCAACTGATTTATAAATATCGTTATCCTTTTAAATACATAAGTGTCGACCTAAATAGGTTTGAAGTAAATAATAAAGTATGTTCTATTATCAAAGCTGTATAGTCCTAATTTACAAATTAAATTAGGTTACTTAATGAAATAAAACAATCAACTCCGCCGTCGCATTCCTTATATTGTATGAAAACATAACACTGTTAATACAATTTAATATAAATTTCATTAAGATAAAACAATAAGACATCGTAAAATAATATTAGGGCGTTATAATAAATGCTCCTATACAGGAAGATAAAATTTTAAATATATATTTTCATAACAACAAATGCGACCTATCCTCTAATTAATGAAAAATGATTAATGAATTGGCGCCACCTATGATATTCTTGATGGTGATATAATACACATTTTGAGGCTCTTGGCAAAATAATGCGAGTGCTATGTGCTGCTCAATGGGTGGTTGGATCTGCTCATCCAAAATATACTAGCGACTTAATTTAAGATTACAAAATAAATCATTATAATTAAACACACAATACGAAATACGAAACTCCTGTATCTTCTTTTTGAACTTTTCACATTAATAGCGCTTCTGGTACATATTGTACGGACAATTTATTCCTGGAGGCGGCGGAGTGGATGACTTTACTTGATAAGGCCTTTAGCTTTGAAGAGATCACGCATTAGTCCTTTAAGGTAGCGAATCTCACGTTGCAAATCTGAGCACTTTTCGCCCAGTTCAGTGTGGCGCTGACGCAGACTGTGCTCCTCACTAAGCAGTACTTCAATTTCTGCCTTCTTTTTCTGACGATAACGGGTTGCCGCGTTCTTGTTCTGCTCCTTCTTGCGAGATCGACGGTCGTCGACCGGGCGTGAATACGGTTTTGGGCGAGAAGGGGCAGACCATTCTTCGTCAGTTGAAGAAGAACGTGGAGAGGACGGGGGAGAAGAGCGGGGCGAGTTTGAAGTGCTATCATCGAATGGCAAAGGAGACTGGAGTTGAGCAGCGCGGTGACGAACCAATTCTTCTACAGCCTGCAGCTCTGAATCATAGTCAGCAGGTAAAGGTGGAACGGGTGCTGCAGGACTGATCGGCCAGGGTTCATTCGGCTGAGTAATGTGAAGAATGGGCGCTAGCGGAGTACACTGAGCTTGTTGCGCATAGCTCAAAAGAAGCTGGCTAGCAGGGCCGGGTGGACTTTGAGGCGGTGTTAAATGGGTTAATTCGACTACTCCGTAAACTGTCTCAAATTCTCGAAGTAGTTCTTCAGTGGGTTGCGGCGTGGGATAACCCGCAGGAACAGGAACCGGGACTGGTGCCTGTTGTTGCGGAGGCGGCACATCCACGCGTTCCGAATATTGAGGAATGTTCTCGAATATTGGTAGCTCTACTTTCTCCTCCAGCCAGTTGGGGAAAATGTTTTCTGTAGAAAAAAAAAACAATGAGCATATTAACTAAATATATAGATTTATATAAAATATTTGATAACAGTAATATTAATTTATATATATTTATGAAGTAAACTTTTATTAATATATTGAGAAAATAATGTTACGAATATACAGTCGCATAACTACGTATAAATTATATAAAGAGTAACGAGTCTACAGACACATCTAATTTACTTATTCATAAATGCAAGATATTTCCTACATATTAATATTATAATCAACGTATATAAATTATTCCAATGCATATTCAATCGATGAAATATCTATTAAATAAAATAGATTGAGACAAAAGCAGCTAGCTAGATTCCATGAACTAAATAAACAACATCTCATGTTGCACGCGTCTGTAACGCGGCATCGTACAAGCTATTGTTCTTGATGCTAATAATATTATTGTCTATTTGTTTGAAAATTGCTTCATTAATAAAAAAAAATAAATACATCTATTAGCCCTGTTTCATCCTCCATAAAATATTACCCCAACAATACCCAAAACAACAATAATGAAATTTGTTGGTCAATTTTATATATTTATATGAGTGCACATTTATAAAAAAAAAAAAGAAAAAATACAAGGGCTATGTGTGATCGAATAGACGTAGAAATATTTATATATTAAGTTTTAAAGAGTTCTTACAAACTGCAATGTAGTGTAAACTATGTTTCTTGAATTATAGTATTGTCAACAAATTTTAACGACTTTGTTTATCTAAAGTGTTTATTTTAAAATTATTAAGAAAACATACGCTTCACCTATTCCTTTCAATATTTCTCGATCATCAATTGCTTTTGTTTATAATGTAAATATTATTACTATCTGGGCACAAAACGTAATTAAACTTCATTTAATCTTATGTAGGAACTGAATTCTTCTAATCAACATTTGTTTGACAAAGCAATTGTACTTTTAAACCCTTTTTTTCTGTAGTATAATGATATCTGCATTTATTACAAAAAGGCAAGTGCTGTATATTTATAAATAAAAGTATTACAACACGATCTCATTTATAAAAAAAATAACTTGTTTGATTTGTAGGGAATTGATTGTAAGTATCAAATTAATATAGTTGACCGACAGGCGCATTCAACAATCAATTGAAACTAATTGGTAAGATTGGTGTCTCGGATTGGAACGGAGAAATTCTTAGATATCACGTACTACTGCTCAATTTCTTTCGATACTATATTATCATTCATTTATTAGAACAAATAGAACTTATAGAAGCAGTAATCAGTTGACAACTATTGACTAGGACCGATAACTGCATCGCCCTGACCTCTGATCTGATAAACTTACAATCTCTAAGGTTCGGTGCCACCACCGCCCTCAATAATACTTCTATAATTTAAAAATTTACTTCGTCATAAGTATTTTTCGAGAGTCCGATGTCATTGACTCGATATATTATACCTATTAATCATTCTGTAATGTTACAAATTTAAGAAAAATAGAATGCGATTGCAACATTAGTATCTGTAGATACGATTAATGTAAATTAAACAGTTTACTGAACAGCATAACGAGATTAAAATAAAACAAAAACATTTTGCGTGTCACGTACGGAGCTCGTGGCGTGATAACTATTCGTCCTCTGTGGAAAGGTACTGGTGTTGTATTTGTATCAATTTATATACATATAGAAAAGTGACCAATAAGTCGCTTTAATTATTGGTCGGGGAACTAGCGAGGTCGGCCTGTGCGCGAACTGGTTTATCATTTGGCGATGGTATAAGTATCAAGAAGTTGCGTATCTAACAAGTGTAAGCGTCTAAGGCGTCAAAACAGATTGTTTACTTAGCTGAAAATTTGCTTAAGGCATGTCAATACAATACTTGTTCCACTCAATTGATGTATTGCCCACGTAAACTTAATGTGCGTAACAAAAACATGCCATATCGTACCTATTTAGTAATGCTTTGATAGAAATATTTTAATATATTGAATTCCATAGTATCGTACATTATATATGCACATGGTTATTAGTTGAAATCTCATATACTTCTACAAAACTAATGAGCGATATAAATGGTTTTACATAGACCACAAATACATAAATATATACATTATGTAAATTAACATTTTATTAAAATCACGTTTTATATCAATTATTCAATTCTCTTGCAACAGGTTTTTCAAACATTGGAAACGTGGCAACTGTCACAACAAATTATCAAGTTTGTTGCGCAGTAATACAGTTGCACCACTTTCAATCGATATATTTCCGAATCACTTTTAAATCGGTCATTACATACAATACTATCTACTATAGTATTCACAAAGAACAAAAAAAAATATATTATAATCAGTCATCACAATAAAAATATCATAATAACTTAAAAACCTAAAAGTAATTAGAGCATTCAGACCTTGAGAACGCCTTTTTGTTAGAATGCCTTTTGATAAAACAACCAGCACCCGTTACAGTCATTTACTACATACCAATATAAAGATTTGCCATTGCCATCACGAAGTCCGATTATGCTATAAAATCAGCTTCTCAAATTCACAATGTACTTTATGTAGTCCTTATTGCTACAATATTATAACGATAAACTTGAATATGATTATATTATGGGCAGTGCAGTTTTGTAAACTATAATCCTCGAGTTGCGAGCTGTGGTCGTCGTCAATAGTCCTGGGCAAAATCCCGAATCTAACGTCTCTTGACCAGTTTTTGTGAGTTGAAAATTATTTCTTTGTTCCAAATGCAACTATAGTGGCACTTCATTCTAACGGCGTCCAGGCGGCGCATGGATTGCGGCAGACATATGTTGCGGTCAGAGGGCAAACGCCCAAAATGCGCTTCTCGAATCGAATTTATTGTCACGGATAAAGAATTACGAGCGATCACCTGCAGACGCGGCGCGACGCACAATACTACTGACTACGCAACTAAATGCGCGCGGGCGCCGAATCAACTTAACCGCACCGCTGGCCCCTCCTCCGTACCCCTAACTACCTACGGTATACCTAATATGTTCATTTTTATTTTAAACTAGCTGTGCCGACGACTTTGTCCACGTAGTATACGAATATATATAAATTCTCAAAAAGTCATGCATGTATTTAATTCTAACACTATCTAGGATTTTTTTTTTCATAAGCTTGATCATTATTCTACGCGACTTTATACAATGAGGTCAAGCTATCTCATGATTCGCTTGACAGATTCTGATAAAACATATAACACTCAATTATTAAATTTCATTGAAAGCAATTTTCTGTGATGACGTTACAAACAAAAAGATAACAATCCCAAATGACAATTTATGTAGACAAAACCAACAATGTGAGTGAAGGTTTTCTTACAAATTATAATTACAATTGTTTTTTTGTGATGTAGGTAAAATTTTTCAGATTTTCTCTTTATTTATGCTGTACGGCACTACTTCTTGTCGAATTTCATGATTCTAGGTCTACGTCCTTGCAAATATACGCCATAAACGGCCGTTCTTTTGATTGCGTTGACTTGAGGTTTGATTTTTTCACAGCTTCAAAGGATTGCAGACTTGACTATTTAACATTAATTTCAGCTTGATATCTCCACGCATTCCTGAGCAAAAGGATCTTGACAGATGAATAGACAAATGGACAAAAAGTGATCCCATAAAGGCTCCATTTTTTCTTTTAAGGTACGAAAGGCTAAAACATCATGTATCTACAGACTTTTCAAGTATTTTTTTGTCGTAAGACTGTAAGTCTTACGACTAAATATTGAAAAAAATCTTGAAAACACTGTTTAACAAAACTCTGTCTAAGTGATAAAATACTGTATAGTCAGTGTAATAATGTTTACTTGTTACATTAAACACCTGTTTATCTCAAGTTTAACTTTTTAATAGTAACACAGTTACAATTTTATTCAGTAAAACTAGATGTACCTGTTATTATATTAGAATGATCAAATTAATTTACATAGATTTTATTTTTCTGAATTTTGAGACTGGAAACTAGAACAGTTGAAAATATATCCTTGCGCAAACACATGTGTTCTACAAAAGTCATCGGAACACAGTATACATTTCGATGAACTTTGAAAAACAATACTATTACTTCGAGTAATATTATATTATTAATTAATTAAGATAAGATTTTTACCTTCTCGACTTGCGTGTTACGTAATATATTAATACGGTATATATACCCTGTCCTGCACGCACAACGGCCCAAATGGGAGGCTAAGTGCGGAAAACAGAGTCTTTCTTACATTACATACCCTGTCCTGTAACCCACAGGAAAAAGATACATATGCCCCTAAGTGATAGTTTTTTTATGTCTTTCTTCTCCTACTTTTCCCTTTTCTTTGTTATGTGTTTAATGAATTTGTGAATGGTTGTGTGGTAGGTGTATAAATTGTGTTGAATGATGCTGGTGTGTTTGTAGAATGTTGAGCGTTAGTTGTATTTAATTGTTGACGACTGCTGCGTGTCTTAAATGTGATGTTTTTGTGTATTGTGTACGATGAATCTCCTAATATTTTGCTGAGTATGGTTGATGTGTAAATGGCTGCTTGTTTTGTAATATAGTGATGGTCAATGTTGGTATTTAGCTTATTTATGTAATTTTTAATATTTTTAGCTACTATGCGACTGTCTAACAACTAACTTCAGTTTTTAGAAGGCGGTCTTTGCTTAACTTTTCAATTTCCTCAGCTCCTATATTACAGTCAGATGGTACAGTTACATCTATTAAATATGTTTTGTTCTTGATTTTATCTATGTATACAAAATTTTGTCTATTATGTGTTGCGGTAATATCTGTTGGAACAGACATTTCCCATAGGATCTTACCAAACTCGTTTTCTTTAACGTATGGTTGGATGAGAGTCTCTTTCCACCAGAGATCAGAAACCTATATGTTTTTTGGCCAGACACCAGTAAATATACTAGCAAGGTTATTATGTCGTTTGACGTATTAGGTCCCCGCCAGTTCCTCGCACCCCGATGTGTTTTATTGCGTCATCTGTACAAGCAAATAAGCAACATTATCCGTCTACTGGCTCTTTTAGTAAATATTATAATACTGATATTGTCGTGTCATTACGGCTTAGTCTTGTGGCCAATATTGACGACTCTATGCTTAGACATATCTGCTGCTTTTTAGTCCAGTTAAATGAAAGTTCACTGTCTACATTGGCCTGATCTAACCATAAGAAACGGGACCATACCTTATGATACTTTACCGTTGGGGGATTTTGCTAATAGTTACCACGCTTGACAGGCGGATTGGATAACTGTGGTTGCCACAGCTAAACTTTTGGTGATGTTTTAAGAGGGACACTGCTGCCCATCCCTAGACTATGCAGTTCCTATAGTGGCCTCTTACGAAACCCATGGGAAAGGAAGAAGTGGCCCATTCTATGCCGGGACAACACGCCATAAAAAGAGTTATTATAATATAATAATATAAATATAATAATATTACATAACACGTTATTAAGCAGCGTTCAATCCGCGATTGTAAATATTTGGACCAACCAGTTGTAATTTACTTCCGCTCATAATGACCTCAATATAAATTTTACTTTCACATCAATACCAAACACTATTATGCCTACACTGACATTGTTACAATTTAGTATTACATACAAGTAAATAACTACTCGTAAGCCCTTTCTTCGATTGTGCTCTTAAATTATTTCGAAACGAAATAGTGTTAAATAAATAACCCTGAATGTATCACGCAGCGCTATCTACCTAGTCTCTTATTAGTTAAAGCGTGTACAAATTTCAAATATATGTAAATATATTTTTTTGTAAATAAAAATATGCAAGTATATAATATACGCGTATGCATCATGCACACTACATGCATGCTACATCACCATACCATGGTTGTCAGTGTTCCTATTATAACAAAATCAAATCTCTTATGTACGAGATTATAATTTATGTATTATCTACTATCACGTAACTACCACATAAAATTTCTCTCTCTAACGACATAATTGTAACATGACTAATAAATAATTTATGACCTTGGTGGGGTAGCGCTATTACACATACCGCCTCATCTACTAAAAATACCATATTTTCTTTATTAACCATATAAAAAATTGGCATGCTATTCCGCAGGTTGAGAGTTCGATTCCCATACATTATAAACGTTATACTCGTATCTGGTAGGTACGCGTTATACAAATTCTGCTTATTAGAGACATGATAGCGCAAAGTTAATAATAATGATGAACTTATAGGAATTAAAATCTTAAATCAAAATTATTATTTATTTTTATTACAAGTGTCAAAAAATTAATTAAAAGCATCACTTTACAATAGCATACATTCATGTTTTCGTATTATAATGTTACGATAAAATCGTGTCATTTTTATAATACCTGCCACACATTTTGTAATATAATAAAAGAATATGAAAGTTTGGAAATTTCAGCGTTTGTTATGTAATCAACAAAAACTCATTAAAAAAATCAAGTATATATATAAAAGGACTATATTCATTTATCTTAAATCATACAGGAAAAGTCGCAAATCATTCCTAACTCAGTAATAGTTTATAACTATACAAATTATTTTTTGTTTCATAGAGGAAGTAACGGCTGAATAGATAACAAGGTTCTATTAGGAACTAAGTACAATATTTAACTTTATTTGCACTTTTAATTTTGTAATTATTAAATTACAAATTACCTGCATAACAATATAGTCTTTAAACAAGAACTACTTATTAGATTATAAGTAGTAAACAACGGCGCAATTTATAATATATTCAGAACTGGTTATACAAATTCGATCAGATACAGAGGCCAGTCCAAGTTAAGAATTTACAAACAGTATAAATAATGCAACATTGACAATAAAAGCTACTAAAATTTCCGTATTTCCTTCCTCCTTAGGTAAACAATATTTACCTAACTTGAAATTAGGCGAGTTCTGTATCAAGTTTTCTGTCCAACGTTTTCATCCTATCAATTAGATATAAACCTCATAGACAGAATAATGATTAACTGGGAAATAAAAAGTCCTGATTCTAGACCACAAGTTCTTTAGCTGGGTTAACAAATAAAATGCTTGAAAGATATTATATGTAAAACTACGATCTAATAGAAAATTATTATATGTTTAATCTATGCGACTTTACAATCGAACTGTATTCAGTTTGAATTTTACAAAATACTTATAAAATATAGTAATATTTTAAAAAATTGTAATTTTTGCTAAAAAAAAATTAGGACAGAATTTTTCCGCTATATTAGTAAGAAAGGCTTAAAATTTATTATTGCTTTTAACTAATATTTCTTTATTAAGAATGTAGTGTCACCGCTAAAACAGTTCCTTAAAATGATGTTAACGAGTTCGATTTCACCCTATAGATAAATAGATAGATATTTAAGACAAACAGTTGCACCGTACAATTTAATCTAAGGAAACTCAGATCTAAACATTATTTCCTCGTAAAACTGTACATATTAAAGTATATAAAAGAAAATTGGGTAGTTTAGTCAATTTGTCACAGCAACAGGAAAGTGCCCACATATTTATCCTATTTCTTACTCTATCTATAAAGGCTGACCACACAATTTTATAATTATTCAATATATACAAATATTAAGAATTTGTACACAATCATCATCTTTCTGCCCTTCTCACATATCTAGGGGTCGATGTAATATATTTACTTCGTCCATTTATCTTTGTTTGCAGTCATCTCATTAATCTCTCCTGGCCATATCATCTTTCACATAGTCCATCCATCTCTTTCCGGATCCTACTTTACCCTTACGACCATTGACATTCATATTTAACACCTTTTTTACCACTTTCTCTTCCCCACTGCACATCACATGCTCATACCAGCGCGAACATTTACTTCTCAAATATTTATACATAATACATCAATATATAATAATTTGCGAATACAAAATCTCTATATATTCAAGCACAATCCCTTAGTAGTTAAACAGAATAAAACGAGTGGTAAGTATATCCTTACAAGAGATTGTATCTCTTACTTTCATAATACAAATTATGTAGGTTATTACGTTGCGTTATATTTTCGAAACGCAAATCTCTATAATTATGATAATATTGAATATATAAATAATTAAAAAAAACCAAAAGCTAACTGTATTCAGAGCAATTCTTAATAAAAACACATAAAAAATAATCCAACATAAAGACTTGCACAACGACTTTTAAGAACCAACTACTTTGAACAGTGTCATCCATAAATCCAAAAGGCAGCCACAAGGCACCGACTTTTATCAAAAAATATTAAAAATATCAGATTAGAAATCTTACGAATATCGAGCATGAAGTTTGGTCGAAATATTTAACAGTATTTTTAAAAAATAATTATATTTTATATGAAAAGAAACTTACTATTTCAAAATCTTCATTTAAATCAGGGAATATAGATCAAAGCTCTCTAGTACTCGCTGAAAATAAATCTGACTCTGTCCAATCTCTTTACTTTCTCTAATTCACGATTGATATTAGAACATTGTCATAAATTTCGCAGTTTCTTGGAAAGTTTGTAACGATGATAATAAAAAAGGAGACCTAAATTTACTGCATACCTTTACGCTGCTTAATGAAACCGAAAAATCTGTATGAGCGAAATGTAAAAACTGTGCGGTGAGAGGCTGACAAATCGTGATATTAAGTTAATCGTTTTAAACAGTTTAACTAACTAGACAATGCTAAAAACTTTTCATCTACGCTAGGGTATAAAATGAATGTTACCCACAATAATAGAGTTTTCGTGTTTAATTTTTCTGTAGATTTATAGTTTTAAATAACTAATTACTTGTAATTTACATATTTTTTATTAAACTTAAAGTGGCAAATTAGCTGCTAATTTGCCTGGTTAAAATTGATAACCGTCGCCTATAGAAAGTCAGTGAATGTACAGTGACTACGATGAAACTCTTCATTGTCGTCATTCGAGGATGATACTTTTATACCCTGGAATTTCACTAATAATCCTTATAAATATTATAAACATGACAAATAATTTGTTTGTTATCCTGGCCACGCGGACAATGTTGCGGGTACAAGCTAGTATTAAAAATAAATAATACAAACCTTGTTTAAATTGGTTGTCTAGCTGTTGCAGGAGATCGTTGGCAAGCTCAGCGCGACTTGGCTTAGATTCCGGCGGAGACGGAGGGTAAAGGCTGACTGTTGGATCATCATGCAACTGGTAATTGCTAAGTTCGATCTTCGGCGTAACTGTTGGTAGAGACTTGAGCAGATCTGCAAACAATAAAACACATGTTAACTAAAATATATAAAGAACAAACTACAACACGACTTTTATATAAATTGTAATAATTTGTTATCAATATATTTCTATTAATATATTGTTTTATATATTCTACTACTATTCTAATTTACATAATCTGTATCTAAATAATAATTATATATTTTCTTTTTTATGTTCTCATATGATAAAAATAGAAAATATAAAATTAGTCTCGTATTAGTACGAGTATTAAGATTTATGCTAGAGAGAGGAACATTACAACGAATTATCATTACCAAAAATGTTCTAATTTAATTAAAAAAAAATCAATAAAATTATAGCATAAGAGACCTTTCCTGACTATTTATCTTTAAATGAGTTAATTTTAGGAATAAATTTTTAGAACGACATTAAAAAATCAATCATTTTTCAATATCATCCTCTCCACGCTCATTCTTGTTGATTCAATATCTTTTATAGAAATATTCATATTGATTTAAAAATTATTGAAAACAGTTAATTGTAAAAACTAATTAAAACTAATAATAAAAGTGTAGTTACATATTATTACATATTGAAAATTTGACACTTTCATAAATATATTATAAATTTATTTCATACAATGAATGATTATTATAAATTTCATTCATTGTTAAATATATATATAATTTGTAACACTCATTAATCCTTACTTTGTAATAATGATATCTGGAATTCTCTACACAATTCACACATTCCATTACTTTTATAACAACACATTTTCACACAAGTACTGTTTATCTCTACGTGTAGTGTTATCCGAATCGACACTAATTTAATTATTACAATAATTAGCGCAGTTAACTGGAATATATCAGAGAAGCTTCAAGGTAAAGAGCTTAGATAAGTAATGGACAAAATACAACGGGGAGACTGAAGTCGTTAATATATATATGAAAGATAACTGTCGCATGATATTACGTCAAAGCAACGCCCAGATGTCGTGATGCTTTAAATCTTATTTGATAATGTCACAATAATTACTTATGTTATAAAAACATGTTCAATATATGGTTACCAGTCGCAGCTAGCTTTATCCGCTGCTACGACCCTATTTACCTCAACGTACGCTAATATGTAAAAGAAGTTGACCAATTAAGGTGAACAAAATTTATTTAATTATAAATATTTAATGGTTAAAATACTATAATTACTATTTAAGTATGTTTATTACCCAAAATAAACCTGCTATAGTTGTTTAACTGCAACACAATTTCACTCCTTTAGAAAGTGCCACAAAAATACAAATTATTCTACTCTGTCCAATCTCCTATATGAGTAGAACTCGAAAAGAATCTCTACCTGTTTATTAATTTAAAATTAGATAATATATGGCCAAGTTTATAATTTCTTGTAAACATATAATAAAATGAGTTTTTATTCATCTTTTATCAAATACAAAGTAGTAAAATAACTCGTGAACAATAACTGAACATTTCATTCACTGCCTCGCCGGCCGGCGATGCGAGGGCCACCATTCAAGTTTGATGAAGGAACCACTTGATCGCATGCGATTCCTTCATCAAACTTGAATGGTCAGCTTTCACAATTGTGGGTATTTTTATGGACACATGAATTCGTATTTCTTTTATTATTGCGTTGTCAAATAAATAAACACACCTTTTATTTTCATAGGGTAAAAAAATCATATATCGTGTACAAATATTATAAATGGTAAAGAATGAAAAGATGTTTAATGTTTGTTACTCACTCACTTTTAAGCAGATGAATTGATTTGAATCAAAAATTAATAGGCATAGCAATATCTAGATTAACATATAGACAAATCTGCGTGACCCAGATAGTATAATATAAAGTATTTTATATTAAGCAGACCCCCAGAAGAGACAAACATAATAGATGTCATATGCTACATAGGCTGCTAGCTTACTAGCTATCTAGGTATATACGAGTATGTACTTTACGTTAATTTTAGCGCTAGACCTCAGTAAACTTAATTTACTCCGCTAAATTTGAGTTCTTACATAAAATCGATGCTGAAAAATATGTGATCAAATTTAATTTAAATCAAAGTTAATAATGATACTAAGAATTATAAAATTATAAAATAGCAATGAATTAATCAATCCTAATAGAATCCATAGAACTATAATAAACTCGTAAAGGACGATAAGTCTGTCTGTAATGTATTTCTAAGAAACTTCCATAAAGATAAGGTTCTCGATACCACTTGTGTTCTTTTTCAAATCATTTTGTTATAATGTAATCGTCAATTCTAAACCGATTTTAATAATTTATAACCGATAGAGATCAATCCTATATCCTTCTCAAATAAATTTTAGCACGTTTAAGTCGCCATTTTCGCTAAATTATACTTATTAGATTCGATAACACAAATCACGACATACAGCTTGACCTTTCCATTGTATAGAATGTAGATAACTTTATAAATTTGATGGACAATTCACGAAAAAAATCCGAGATTTGACAAAATGGAGATATATATTTAAAACAGAAATAAAGAGTTGTTGAGTTGTAATTTTAACGCTGTAAATTGGAGAATTATAGAAAGTACATAATTCAAAAATATATTTTCAGAAATGATACAGGTATGTTTTTACTATTAGATACTAGGAGGACCATTCACAGAAGTTCTGAATTCCAATCTTCACAATTTTAAAAAGATAGATACATACTGGATATTTTTTGGTAACCTGGACTTAAATAATATTGAATTAACTTTTAATCGTATATACTCCAATTAAAAGATTTACTTAAGTGATGGTCGCATATAAATTTTATCAATATTAAAATATGTTTGTTTTTTAGAAATAAATGTAAAATCATCAATTGAAAATTTAAGACTGTATGCTTAAAAAGATACGTTTTTCAATTAAATAAATGATAAGATACATAAGAAAAATGCTTTTCGATGCGTCCTGCGATATTCTTGTTATTTTTAGGGGGTTTTGTATTGCACACATTATAATCTCGTTGCTTCAAATACAGTTCTAAACTATCAATGAGCTTATATTATTGCTGTGAGACAAATGTAACAATTGTAAATTGATACATTTATTAATTGTTGAAAATAATCACTGCGATAATAATAAAAATCTTAATATGATGTAACTCTAATTGTTGTTACAATAAGTTATAATTGTAACGAACAAATGATGAAACATCACCAGGAGAACTGTCAATCTTATTAACGTCAAATGTGTTAGAAGAATATTCTGCTTCTATGTTTGCTACTATGCCAAAATAATATTATGTAGGTACATTCCGGTAGCTTCACAGTTTTAGAATAAGTCCATTAGAATCCATAAAAGTATTAAATTCCTCCTAAAAAATTGTTGTCATCTTCAACAATTGCATTCCTTAATCACTCAATAAACGTAGTAAAACTTACGTATAAAAAGCTTTATTTCCTAGAGCAGAGCTGTACTTTACTGAGGGGCAAAGACTATTATTATGTAAGCCACAAGTTCGGACTTTTGACACAGTTTGATTAATCAAACCGAGTCAAAAGGCCAAACTCGAACCATAAATCGAACCCAAAAACTTGGACTTTAAAACTCGATTATGCGACGAATTATGAGAATCAACGATTCTTTACTCATTTTTGAAACATGACTTTGTCTTCCCTTTCAGCTATTATGTAACTGGTAAGAATTTTTTACATTATTCCTATGGCTATTGAAATAGATCCGGGCAATGAACGCCGCGAACGCTCAAATTGTGGAAGATAGGTTATAACGATCAAAAGCAACTGAAAAAATATTTCGAAGAAAGCGACAGTCACACATTGGCATTGTAGCATATTTTCAAGTAATTGAAAAGGAATGACGTAATTAAAACAATAAGAATAAATATAATTAGCGAGGAATTGTACGAATAGTTATACTAATTAGCGTCATTGCGAGATCGTATTTTCAGTGCGCTTGTAACTCTCTTTTATTATACTTGTAGTATCATTGGAATAATCTTGCAATACAATATGGAAATTTTTACTTATCAAATTATGTAAACTAAATATCTATCTATGTTTTCTCAACCCTAACAAAGAGGCTAACAGTTTATTTAAACCTATAAACCGTTATAAGCAATAAATCGATCACTTTGTGATAAACAAACATATTATAAAATTTAATGTCAAAACATATTTTCATTGGATACAAGATAAATAATGGAAAATAGTCGGGTGGGTGATATGCAATTGAAAACATGGTCAAGAGAGCTACCAACAAAAACAAGTATGTTTTCAGAAACCGCCAGACGTCATGTATTATCTCGTATGTAAAGTTTGTCACACGCTGGACGTGTGATTATCAAGACACACCCTCGTTTTTAGCATAGCGACTAAGACAATATCTGTAGAATAAAATTAATTAAATTATAATAATTGAACTACATCTTTTTTGTTTAAATAAAATGAATTAATTGTAAAATGTAGAGATATTCACGTGGTAAGATATTTATAATAGAAAAAATATATAATGTTTTGTTAAAAATAATAATGTTTTGTTCTCGATTTTAATTGTTGCTAAGTAATTCATTGATGGCTTTTTATATAAGTTAATGGTCTTAGTACTCTATCTGCGAAACAGTATTGAAGTTATTCGCGAACAAATCCTTCATATTATTGCTTGAAAAAATTACGTAATAATCTCGCATTGAGTTCCCGAGTACAGTATTCTTATTATTTTACCTATATATATTTTAAATATTTATTAATGATTCGTTTTTATACCCGTAGTAGATTACTCAATCACGATTACTTAACTGTTTCTAAATAAATATAGACAATCGTATAAAAAACTTATCATGTACATAAAAAAGTACCACACAAATAATAAAAAATTATTACGGTAAAACTGAAAGTGAATAGATAAGTATAATTATTATGTACTATAAATAGATACAGAAATGCTAAATTTAAGTCTCTATATCACATATTATGAACAGGCAGCGCTTTCCTAACAAAACTCTTTCCTCCTTTTATATATTT